GCATCCACTCTGGATAGGTAAAAGGCACAGAACACATGAGAGAGATGGGGACCCGCTCTGGTACTTTTCCATCAAGAGCCAATCACAAGCAGGATTGATTTCCTCTTATAGGACAGACACAATGACAGTGCCCTATGAAATGTGCCTGCTTTTGTCATTGGGAGTAGTTTTAGAATTGCCGTTGCCTGTCATGACTCCCCTAGTAAAGCAGATTCTCTATACAGAGTGTGAAGCAAGCAAACAAACAAACAAAAACCTCAGTTTTCTTAAATGACTCATTCAAGGTCACAAATGAGCTAATGTAAGAAATAAGAATTCCTCTAAGTTCAACGTTTTATTACAGCCTTTTACTCCTACGGGATAAATTTTATATTGAGGGTATCTTATGAAGAGAACTAATTTAGAAGGGTTTATCCTGATGTGGAACTGAGGAAAAGGTGCTGTAGTAGAACGCTATGAAGACAGGGGCCTCCTCGACTTTCACAGAGAAGGTAAGATTGCTGGAAAGGATGAAAAGGGGGCAGGTCAGTAAAAATCATGGGGTCGGGACTTTAAATGGAAAGTTCTTTAAGAAGCAAAACAAAGAGAAATCCAAGGGATAAAGTAAAGTAAATAATCATAAAACAATCAAAGACACAAATATGGATATAAATCTATTTCAACACAAACTTTTCAAAACTAAGCATTGGAGTATTTTGCTCCCACTCATTTCTGTTTCAACATTTCCCCCTTCAGATCAGCCCAAAAGATCTGAAGAAATATACTTCCTGTACATTAAATGAATGTTAGAAACTAAACTTAAAATTTCATTAGAAAAAATCCATTTCCCTTAAGTATCCTCGTCTTTCCTTAATATTTTCATTTAAAAAATAAACGAAGGCATTAGTCATGCATTCCTCATTTGCAGGTTGGCCTCTTGGTTTCATTCTCTGCAACGGGCTCATGCTAAACTTTCCCAAGCTTGCAGCCATCATCCGTTCTCTTCCTGAAGCTCAGAAGCTAAAAACTCTGCTCATCCCTGGTCATGAGCATTTGGGCCACAGCATGATAAGAACCATGGCGCCCTGGTGCAAAAGCAGCTTTCCTAGCTCAACTTGATTACTTGGAAGAAGCAGATATTGTGTACACTAGTTCACTGGTCCAGAATCAAACCCATTCTGAGAAAGAGACTGTGAAGGTGGGAAGCTCTGTGGTGACCTGGGGAGGCTGATTTTAATATCCACACTTATCCAGCAGTAGAACCCCTGACCAACGCTGCAGCAGTCCTTGCCTGGGTGTCTAGGGTCAGCCTTCTAACACTGCCTCCACTGTTCTCTCTGGCACCAAGAGACTGTTTTTCACATCTTTCCTATTTGGCATCCTCAGCAGAAGTGTCTGCCTTGATGAGCTGGGATGTAAACACAGAAAGCCTACAAGAGAAGCAAGCTAGAATCCACAAACGACCAGGGAAATGTTCACCAGTACTCCAGTCAGCATCCTTGAGTTCCAGAGGGGCAGAATTCACATCAGTGGTAGAACTCTAAGGCAAGGATCTGTCTGAAGCACCATGGTAGGGCCGGAGCCGTCCTTGACTTTCAGTCCAAATCCCTCTCCTTGTTCAAGTGCAGCTCCGTGGCAAAAAGAACAACTTGCCATAGATGGGGCTCAGCTTGGCATCCCATCACAAATCTTTAATAGAAATGGATGCCCACCTCACCCCACGTTCTGTTTTAATTCCCTGTATGATAGATTGAAGCTAACAAGGAGAGGTCTACGGTATCCTAAAAGCAGCAGGTGACAGCTCACAGCTTTTTCGTAATTTTAAATGGCTACTGTAGTTTAGGGGTAAACAACTTCTCCCAGGTACTTTTGAAGCCAGCCACTCTGCCAACTGTCTGAAGACAGGGTAATTGTCACTCTTCTTCCCATAACTTCTTGTTTTCATATCAGTGGCTGGCAGGTTTATCTGCTGCGGAGCAGCTTCTGAGCCACGTCAGTGACACTGGCTACGTCAGCAAGAGCAATTGGAAGGGAGGAGACTGTCACTGCCAACAGCAAGGGGAGAGAAAATTCTAGCCTTAAGGATAAGATGGTTCTTCTGTCTTTCTCTCTACGTAATAGGCATGGTTTCCAGGGACCGCAGACATTATGAAGTTTTATCACACCTTCTTAAGGTTTGGGATACAAGGGCATTAAATTTCATTTCCAAACCCCTTGTTGTAGACCTGCGCTTACTTAAGAAGCAGTGGGTTTCAAATGTGTCAGAGTATAGAACGCTCTAAGTATCTAAAGCTACACCAAGCACACCTAGGCTGCCTTCTAGCTCAATTCAGGCCGTCAGTAAGTCTAACTACTTTCACTGTTGGCGCGAGTGTAGTCCACATGACACCATAATTTGATTAGGATCCGTGGCACAACGCTACTCCGTAGCTGATCTTTAAAGTAGATGTGAAAGCCTCTGCCCTCTGAGACGGCAGACCTTTAAAGTTCACAGCTGCGGAAGGATGATTCTGTCCCATTGTCAAACAGTCACCTCTGGTCCAACACAATGTAAGGAGACAGACACACGGCCAATATTGCTGTAAAAGATTCTGTTTGTGAGGAAGAAACAAAATGCTAATGCAGAAGGGAGGGAGTTCAAAATGAAACACCTTGTAGAGCACAAACATATATTCACAGGTGAAAACAGGAACCTGCCAGAAAAGCACAGTGATTCGTGACTCTCTGAAAAATCGATAATGCCAATTTTTTGTGGAAAGATCCAGCTTATGATTTCCGAGTTCCTATAAGTTGTTTCATCTAATTCATAGCTAACGGTGGACAGAGTCAAATTCAGAAAGCTGTGGGGTTTTGTCTGCGTGGACTCCTGACATTTTAACCTCTGGAGCAAGCCCCACAGCCTCACTGGGAGTTCGGCTTCCCATTACATAATGCCAACTACCAGTAACTTGCTGGGCAGCCACAGCCAAGCCATTTGATTTCCTGCACCTCTCTCTGTTCTGAGTAGGAATAAGATGAAGACCATAAGCTGCTTTGCGGGGCTAAGAACTAAGAACACGCCTAAAACAACACTTCGTACGATTACAGTGAAGAAAGAATTGACTTTTGTCATACTGAGTGCCATTCCCCCACAGGGTGACCTCAGTTCTTCCCCGAAGCTGTGCTGATGCTAAGCTATCTGTGTCAGGGCTCTGGACCAGGGTGCCTTAACCTCACAAGGTCTAGAGCTTGCTTCAAAAGGTGTCCATCCACTCCAGTCTCCAGGAGGCTGGAGACACAAAGCTTGAGAACCACTGCTATCCGAAGCCTTGGCTACAGGTGTTCTCACATACAGCAACATTGCCCAGCACCGAAGCGAAGCCTGGGAAGACGGCTACAGAAGCCAAGAACAGCAGCTTAGAGAAGACCTGAAGAAAACCTCAGGTCCCTAACCTTAACTTCTTCAGTCACGGTCTTCAGGTTGCCCCAATCTGTCCAAGGGGGATTTCCTCAGTTACCAGTGCCTAGATTGTTCCCTAATAACAAGAGTAACAACAACAACATGGCCTGAGAAGGGCCCAGAGCTAGAAGTGTCTGCTCTGTCAGCCATTCCATACTGAGGACACCTGTTGGAGGGGAGGCAGAAGGGTCCCACAGGACTCTGGGAAGGACCAATAGATAGCTTGCCTGGCAGACATTATTGTGTGTAGTGTACAAATGAACCAGGGAGGAGTGGAAGAGCTTCTGACCTTTCGGAAGTATTAGGAGGATGGTGGATCCTTCCCAAACAAGACCCAAGACTGAGCCTTGACCAAGAAATTGTGCTTGGAAGAAAAAAAAAAAACAGACAAAAGAAGAGGGGGTGTGGAAAATAATCAGGACACTCTTCACAGAGGGAGGGAACGTTCCAAAAGATGGACCTAAGTGAGGTTATTGTCCTCTGTGACCAGGTCAGGAAGAAGCAGGGTGCTCTTAAAGAGGACAGCGTGAAACGAGAATTTCATTCTCATTTTTCAGATCTAGGTAGCTCGCATGAAATCACTTAGCACTTATAAAGCATTCTGCAGTTTAAAAATATTATGGCATTCACAATCTCATTTGTTCTCATCTGCCTGGAAACGCTAGTTCCGTTTCCTTCCATTTTACACGAGAGGAAACTGAGGCTGGGTAGAGAGGATTATGTGATCCGCTCAAGGTCACGTGGCTGAAATCAGCCCTAGGAAGCAACCAGGTGCCCCTCGCCCTTCAAGGTGGTCGTCCACCTTGAAGTGTTAACTCCTCAAGGAGAAAGCTGACATAGCTGCACTGGACTTCGCTCTGCTCGCGAAATTTGGGATGGAGCATTGCCCTCCAGTGCCAAGAAGGGGACCTGATGACGCGGAGCCACAGACCGGGATTTCCCTATTCTGCAGGGTTCTCAGGAGCCTGGAGCAGAAGCCTTGGCTCTCACACACTCGCGGGTGAGTCAAGTAAGGCTTAACAGCAGTTTCTGGATAGAGATTTAAAGAGAGAGGAGAGGGGCAGGACTGGGTGAATTCCCTTCTGAGAGGTCCCAGTTCTGCCACCAAGAGCAGGCATTGGTTTCTGGACTGAGCTTCCCACTCTCGCCCCTACCCCACTGGCTTCTTTCTTGGAGGTCCCCTAGAGCCAGAAGGCAGCTCGAACGAGGAAAGGGGCCGGAAAAAGTGTGGAGGTGACAGGAGGCCGGTCGTGTAGCACCTCTGATCTTCGGGTCTGAGCAATCATGAGCCAAGCCCAGCTTGAAGTTTGGGCATCAAAGGTTTCAGACCAAGTAGCGAGTTGCCCCGAGAGCGAGTCGTCCCGGGTGGGAGATCTGAGAGTGAGAGGTGGCGACCCGGAAAGAGGGGAAAGGCTGGAGAAGGTGCCGCTTCCCAAGCCCCTCGATAGGTAGCTGGTCCGCCTCTGCAGCCCGCGAGTGCGGAGAAAGCGCCCCGCACCGCGGCGCAGCGCAGCCCCTCCTCGCTGCGCCGCGCTCCTCCCCACCTGCCCGTCGCCTCGCCCGCCCGACCGCGGAGACTCACAGTCCGCAGGAACTGGATCTCATCCTCGCCTCCTTCTCCGGCTTCGGCCATGGCTCCCGGGGCGTGCGCGGCGCCCCAGCTTCGGGCGCCTCTGTTTCCCCCAGGCAGCGGCGTGCGCTGACTGCCGCTCTGCCGTTGCTCTTTCTCCTCCTCGTCGACCTCCTCCTCCCGCTCCTCGCTGAGCCTCGGCAGCGCCGAGCTAATCCCCGACCTTATAGGGAGCTGGGCTAACACTTGACTGCACTGCAGAGCGCCAATGCCAGCCGAGCAGCCCGCCCACCCCTCTCCCCTCTCGCCCCAGCCAAGTGCGCGGCCGCCGCGGACTCCGGCGGACAGCGCAGCGCGGCGCGCGCCAGGCGGGTGTGGGGCAGAGCCGGGGACCCGGGCCGGCGCGGTAGAGCCTCCCCCGCACCGCACCGCACCTCACATTCGGTGGAGACGCGCGCCCCGCGGCGACGGGAAGCTGGCTCTTACACAAAGGCCAGTTGCTTAGATTCGCTGCCCCCAAATTGGGCATAAACCCTCTAGATTTGTCCACTTTGCGTGTGTGTGTGTGTGCGTGTGTGTGTGTGTTTGAGAGAGAGAGAGAGAGAGAGAGAGAGAGAGAGAGAGAGAGAGAGAGAGAGAGAGAGAGAGAGAGAGAGTTGATTTCCTATTTGAGTTAGAGTGCCCATCTAAATAGAAAATGGCGTTGACCCACCACCACCCGTGGAAGACTCGGTAGTTTGGGTGTACCTTGGTATAACATACAGCAAGGAGAGAAGGGTGCCATGACTGTTCATTCCAGGCAAAGTTTGTAACTCACCTTTAGAGAACCCCTTCACTCCTTAAAATTTGATAAGGGGGGGGTGCGATAATCAGAATGCACATTGAACATGCGTGAAATTGTCAACTAATAAACTCAATAAACGTTTTTTTAATATATATATATGATAAGGACGGACACACTACACCTCCATTGAATAAAGATGCAGTAACCCCCAAGGTGCTTCAGGGGGCTCCCATTTTGTCCTTGATTTGGAAGTTAGATGACATCAGAATCTTGCCTTTGGTGAGCACCTTTACCCTTGTTTTGCTCTTTCGATTGCCGGTTCCGTGCACTCTGGGAATGAGCATATACAATAGGTCCTAGAAGGCTAACACTCACCCACTCAGCCTTGCGTCGTTTATGTAGTATTTGGGAGCAGTCTTATTGGTCCTCTGCAGACTCAAGGTGCAGGATGCCCCTTCTGTGTGCTGGTCATGAAGTTCCCTGGCAAAAAGAAATATTCAAAGGAAGAGCCTTAAAGAAGGAATGCAGACAAGTGGCCGCTCTGGGTTTAAGCCTAGCAACTCCTCTAAAGTCTGCCTGGGACAAATCAAGCTGTCTCTACACTGTGGCATTTTACATTTTAGGAGCCCCCTGGCTGTGCTCACCTCTATGCCCTCTCTTTGGATAAAGATTCTTTTTGTCTCCATCACTGGGGGCAGGAGTACATTTTGAAAGGCGAAAGGCCTCTTGGATTCCTAAATCCTCGGGAAAACTATCAGCCATGGTTAGAACTTCAGCAGGACCCACAGAAAAAAAAATGAAGTATTTTCGGGATGCTTGAATTGTTGAAAGTCAGCAAGGAAACTAAGAGCATTTGAATGGACAGGGACGGTGCAGCTGACACCACTGCCGCTGAGGGACAGCCGGTGCGGCCACATAAAAATGTCCGTTTTCATTCTTTCAGCTCTCATGGTTCACGAAGTTCTGAAAACACCAACGACAAATGAAGATATCCCTGTATTTATTTAACCCTGCTTACTTGCCACACATGAGGGACTCATGGGCATGTTTTATCAATTAGAAAAACAAGGCTCTAATGGACTAGTGGAAAATGACCAAGGCATCATCATATAAATAAGCATCTCATGCACTAAGGATTGTTATTCATGGTGGCCAAGGACTCAGATGGTGTTAATGGGGCCAGGGCTGTGTATTCAATCCCAGGAAGGCTGATTAGTGCCACTCACTTGTGAGTTAAAGATGTAGCCCCTTCACTTTCTCCCAAAAACCTCAAAAATCTTGGGTCATTTAGCAAAAAGGAAGGCAGTGTTGACTATAGTAACAAAACTATTCCTAAGGACATAGGAACTAAAAAAAAACTAATTTTTGCCCATGTGGACCTACAGTAAACTGTATGTAGTGTTAAGTTTGCCTTCAATGACATTTCAGCATCACCTCCAGTGATGACTAATCTTGGCTGTCAACCTATCATACCTGGGAAGAGGGAACCTCAGTTGAGGAATTGCATCCATCAGATGGGCCTGTTCCCACATCAAGAAATGTGGGAACATTTTCTTGATTGTTAATTAATTGAGGAGGGCCCAGACCACTGTGTGTGTGTGGGGGTTGTCACCTTTGAAGATGTGGTCCTTGTATAAGAAAGCTAGGTGAGCAAGTCAGTGAGCATCATTTCTCCAAGGTTTCTGCCTCAGGGTTCTACGTTGGTGTCTAATTAGGGTTACTGTTACTGTGATGAAACACCATGACCACAGACAACTCGGGGAGGAAAGGGTTTGGTTTATCACTGAAGAATTTCACCAGCGGAACTCAAACGGGTCAGGAACCTGGAGGCAGGAGCTGATGCAGAGGCCTTGGAGAGGTGCTGCTTACTTGCCCATGGCTTGCTCAGCCTGCTTTATTGCTGAACCCAGGACCACCAGCCTAGGGGTGGACCCACCCACAACAGGCCCTCCCATACTAATCAATAATTAATAAATTAATTATATATGCCCTATAGGCTTGCCTGCAGCCCGTTCTTATTGAGGCATTTTCTCAATTGAGGATCCCTCTTCTCTTATGATTCTAGCTTGTGTCAAGTTGACATAAAACTGGCCAGCACAGTTGGCTCCCCGATGATGGACTATAACCTAAAAGCTAAAATAAACCCTTTCTTTCACAAATTGCCTTTGGTCATGATGCTCATCACAGCCAGAGAAACTACACTAGAAACATCATCTGTTTGCTGAAATTCATTTCTCGAGCTAATTATGCTTATGCTTGCTCTGTACTGACTGACTCAGGTTCCTCTTTGAGAAAGGATAAAGGCAATAATTTTAAGAGCTGAACAGTTGAGGAAGCTGATTCTGCTGGCACTGCTGAAGAATGCATGGGCAGACCATATATGGCAATCTGTTGAACTTGTAATACACAACCATAAACGTGAATCCTATCCATATATCGACTGAATATCTATTTTTCCATCAGCGAAAGGAAAAAAAATCTTTCTGTGCTTTTCACTTGGGTGTTTAAGTCATGAATCTCTTCTGCATGTGATAGGACAAAAGGTATCTCTACTGCGGTGGCAAATTTCCACTGTCAACTTAACTAGATTTAGAATCACCATGAAAACATTCTTCTGGGTCTGTCTATAAAGGAGTTTCCAGAAAGGTTTGACAGAGAAGAAAAGACCTACCCTGTATGTGAGCAGCATTATAGCATTGTCTAGGGGGCCAGACTAAATTAAAAGAAGAAAGTGAACTGAGCACCAGTATCCCCAACCACCACGTGTGTGTGTGTGTGTGTGTGTGTGTGTGTGTGTGTGTGTGTCGGTCTGTGTCTGTCTGTCTGTCTGTCTTGTCTATGGACACAATATGACCAAAAACCTCAAGTCTCTGCTATGTCTTCCCCACCACGATAGACAGTGCCCTCAAACTGTGAGACAAAATGAATTTCATCTTTAAGCTGTTTTGTGGCAGGCATTTTGTCCCAGCAAGGAGACAAGTAACTACTTCATCCACCTGGAAGCTCATGAACAGAAATAACATAAAAGTACACCACCCTTTGATACCAATAGGCAGGATGGAAAACATATTTTACAGATATTTTCAATGTTTAGATGTGATATTACTCATTTCTAAGACATCTACAATAAGCAACTAAGGTGGTACCTATCTTTGTTCTACTGATTTATAAGCAATTCTCTTCTTCACTGGAGAAGGGATAGGTGTGTGAAAATGCATTTCTTCTTCTGGAGATATCTGTTTCCCTCCCAGCAGAGCTACAAACATTAAAATGCTTACCACAAGCAAGGATCCACCACCACACATATCTCCCCAAAGCTGAACACATGGAGTTACCTCCTCTTTTTCTTTGTCCTTCCTCTTCCCCTCCCCTTTCCTCGCCTCTCCTTTTGTAGTATCTTAAGATTGGAGAAGTATATTATAAGGTCAAAGTTCACAGAACCCTCTGATGCAACACTCCTAAGACAATCAAAGAAGGGACTCTTTTCCCAGGGACACCCTATGTGTCACAGCAGAGATGGGAGTGAGCTGAGCAGGCCTGCAAAGGCTTTCTCCATGTCTAGTCCATTGAACGTCTTTACCCTCAAGAACCTCCACCAGTGACCAGTTGCTAAAGCAGTAGTTGAAGAAACTGGCACCATCACAGTTTGTATGCATTTGCTTCTGGGTCAGCCTGCATTTAACAAGAACCGAAGCTGTTGCACATTGCGTCCACATTTACATCATTTATAAGAGGAGGGTTTGAGGCCCAGGTTAAACTGTACCATTTAAGGATTGAATCTCTGAGCAAAGAGATCTGAATTCTTAGCGTTTGCTTCAGCTTCTGGGAAGTGGGAGTCAATATGCCTACTTCTTGGGGTTCCTGTAAGCAGAATTAAATGATTCGGTGGTTATAAAGTGTTTTCTCAGTACCACATGAAAATGTTCGGTAGAGGGGCTGATTCAGCAGTGAGTACCGCTGTTGAAGAGGACCTGAGTTTGTATCCCAGCGTTCACATTGGGTGCCTATAAGCACAGCTACAGGGCTTCCAATGCCTTTGGCCTCTTCAGGTACCTGCGCTCACCTGCACATACCACCTTCCCCCCCAAACACCAGCACTAAAAGAATAATTCTAAAAATCATTTTTAATGTGTTCCATATAAAAGTCCTGAGATTTACGGCATCCAGGTCGGTCTCCACCTTTCTCCTGTGCTGAGGTTTCCACTGCCTGCCTTTCGGGTATGTGTGTGTTGCTTCAATTCTGTAAGTTCGCTTGGCATTTGATTTTAATGAGTTTTTACTCATATAGAAGGAACTTCTGGCCTCTGAAAATAATTTCCAATCACAATAAGAAAAATATCCTGGGCAGAGCTCATATGATACAAGTTAATGGTGAACATCGGTACTGTTTCTTTTTTTCCTGTGTTTGCTTCTTAGGAGCGTTTTTCTGAGCCATATTGT